GGGGGTCCCACTCAGGGAGAAAAGTGAGATATAAAGATTTATTATTCTAGATTTATATTTATTTATTATTATTTATTTACTGCATTTATATACCGCTTTTCTCACCCTTGAGCAGACTCAGTGGTTTCAAACATAATAGTGGCAAAATTTAATGCTATACATACATGTGAAAACCAAAACATAATTTCTAGACAATAACATATAATATAAATTAAGAACCTTAACCATATTACACATAGCAGAGTATTAACTTTTGTGACTTTAGTTTTGGCTCCATTGTTAGATATATGGAAGATATATATGCCTGAAGAGACAATGGAGCTTTTCTATGTTTTTCCCTTTGTGAAACTTGTATGTCCAGCCTATGTAAAAGCATTCTGTTGGGGTTAGCTCAAATTAGGTTCCTGCATGAAAGTTTGCCATGGATTTGACTATTGAGACCTTTCCATGGCCATGGATTTTGGGGTTCTCCTTGGCATTCCAGGCTTTCAATAACAGCAACCTCAATCATCACTAACCAGCAGAGCCACTCATGAGGGATCATGGGGGCAGTAGTATAACATTTTGAGGGACACAATCATAGCGGCTAGGGATGGTGGAGTGACACATCAACACAACTAAAGAGTACCAGGTTGGTTTGGAGAGGATGTCCTACAAAAGAATTAAATCATTTCTGGCCTTTTAGATGTTGCTGGATTGCAGCTCCCACAATATTTCTCCATGGGCTATGCTGCCACAGGATAATGGGAGTTGTAGCATCTTTTAACAAATTCTTTGTCTATGTGTTACATATATATACTTTTTGCCCCAATGCATGTTCCTACTATTCTACACCCCCTGTTGCAGTTTTGGTGTCTTTCCCAGTCTTTCCTCTATGACTGTGCACCTTTCCCAAATATGCTTGTAAAACTCCATTGTTTTTAATGGTTGTTGCTCCAGTTTATATATACACATCTAAAAAGGGGGAAAAATAAATGCATACTGCGCCCTGCAGAAGTTGTAAACATAGCTTAAAATAACTGGCCTGTGAAAATAGCTGAAGAAGAACAGTTTGAATAAGCCTGAAGGTGGATCCTGTTGCGTTTTTCTGGCTGTTCAAGGGATGGAGGGTCAGTTTTTTGCTCTTCCAAGGAGACATAGCCCAGTTGATTTCATTATGTTAGAGGAGGAAGGTAGCTTGTATGTACCAGAGGGCAAAACCCAAAAGTTCTGCCTCTGTGCTCTATAATTTTAAAAATATGCATCCAGATACAGTGTATACAGTGAAATCCCACAGAACCATATTGATCCAAATTAGGTTTTCCTTCCAAGTAGTGTCCTTCCAAGTAGGGCCCCTGGTGGCATGGCAGGTTAAACCGCTGAGCTGCAGAACTTGCTGATTGAAAGGTTGGTGGTTTGAATCCAGGGGAACAGGGTGAGCTCCTGCTGTTATGCCCAGCTTCTGCCAACCTAGCAGTTTGAAAACATGCAAATGTGAGTAGATCACTAGGGAATGCTCCAGCGGGAAAGTAAGGGCGCTCCATGCAGTCATGCTGGCCACATGACCTTTGAGGTGTCTACAGACAATGCTGGCTCTTTGGCTTGAAATGGAGATGAGCACCAACCCCCAGAGTCAAACTTAATGTTAGGGGAAACCTTTACCTTTACCTAGTGTTTGTTCTTGGGCAAGACACCCGATACGTATTTTTAACCTTATAGCTCTAAAAGAAAACCTACATAACACAACTTCAGGATATCTGTAGCCTTATGGAAACCTCATGAATTTCACATGTATGTAACCATGTATGAATACTCAGCAGGGGTTTGGTCACTTCCTTTCTCTGAAATATAGAAGACAGCATCTGATGTCAATCTTCCATTCAAATACTAACCAGGGTTTGCCCTCCTTAGCTTCCAAGATCAGATGTGATCTGGTCTCTTCCAGTATTGGCAGTATACAGCAGCTAATGCCCTGCTAATGTTAATGCTAAAGGAGTGCAAATCACATTGTGAAAGCTAAGCATGTTTAGCTACCAAGATCAGACAGGATCTAGTAGTGCCTTGAGGAGGAGCAGAATGGTTGCCAACTGGAAAGTGGGTCAGGCAAGGCTGTGTTTTATCCCGTTATCTGTTTAACTAGTATGCTGAACGTGTCTTCTATAAAACTGGATTAGATGTGGTGGTGGAAAGCAACATGAAAACCGGTGGAAGAAACATCAACAGCTTAAGACATGCAGATAGTGCCATACTCCTAGCAGAAAACTGCGAAGGCTTTGGAATTATTCAGATCCTCTGAAGATGCCAGCCACAGATGCAGGCAAAACATCAGGAGAAAATGCTGCTAGAACATAGCAATACAGCTCAGAAACCACACAACACTTCTTTGAAATGCTTACTGAAGAAAGTCAAGGGAGAAAGTTCAGAGGCAGGTTTACAACTGAACAAAAAGAAAACTGTGGATTGTTTGCATAACTTTAAAGCAGATTGTTTAAATAACTTTAAAGTAGAGGTATAACTAAAGTTAGTATTTCCAATGTCTATATATGGTTGTGAGAAGCTGAATAGTGAAGAAAATGAATAGGATGAGGCACTGGAGAAGATTTCGGTGGGTAGTGTGGACTGTGAAACAGGCCAGTAAATGAGCCCTAAAGCAAATCAAGCCTGTATTCTCCGTTTAAGTTAAGATGTCAAAGCTGAAACCATGGTTCGTTGGCCTTATCATGAGAAGACAGGGCTCACTAGAACAGATAATGATGCCTGGTAGTAAAGTAGAAGAAAAAAGAGGAAGACCTCATTCCAGGATGGACTCAATCAAGGAATGCCCTGAATTTGCCAGACCTGAGCGCAAGCCTTGGAGATTCATGGGGCTGCCATACATTGAAGCTGACAAGAACTAGGGGGGGAGCTACACCAGGCCAGGGCAAACTTTGGCCCTCTGGGTGTTTTGGACTTCAACTCCCACCATTCATTAACAGTCTATTAAAAGACCAAGGCCTGCAATGATTAAACCTTCTTGCTGGACTGTAATTAAAAGTTGCTAATGATAGCTGAAAAAGTAAACTGTGATAATAACCATGACAATGATAACAGAAATTGTCAAAGGCTTTCATGGCTGGAATCACTGGGTTGTTGTAGGTTTTTCGGGCTGTATGGCCATGTTCTAGAAGCATTCTCTCCTGATGTTTCACCTGCATCTGTGGCTAAGTAGGGTTGTTGTAGGTTTTTTCGGGCTATATGGCCATGCTCTAGAGGCATTCTCTTCTGACGTTTCACCTGCATCTATGGCAAGCATCCTCAGAGGTAGTGAGGTAGTGAGGTGATGCTTGCCATAGATGCAGGCAAAACATCAGGAGAGAATGCCTCTAGAACATGGCTATATAGCCCAAAAAAACCTACAACAACCCAGTGATTCCAGCCATATTTATTTATTTATTTATTTTATCATGTCAGGAGCAACCAGACATTTGTATTACATCTTTAACAAAACAAACAAACAGATAAAACACAAAGTTTGCAAGCTTGGTAGTTGATTAAATGTCCTTTGACCAGTATCTGGCCACTGGGAGTGCCTCTGATGTTGCTGCAAGGAGGTCCTCCATTGTGCATGTAGCAGGGCTCAGGTTGCATTGCAGCAGGTGGTCAGTGGTTTGCTCCTCTCCACACTCGCATGTCGTGGATTCCACTTTGTGGCCCCATTTCTTAAGATTGGGTCTGCATCTGGTGGTGCCAGAGCGCAGTCTGTTCATCGCCTTCCAAGTCTGTGTGCCCAGGGAGGAGTCTCTCATTTGGTATCAGCCATTGATTGAGGTTCTGGGTTTGAGCCTGCCACTTTTGGACTCTCGCTTGCTGGGGTGTTCCGGCAAGTGTCTCTGTAGATCTTAGAAAATCATTTCCTGATTTAAGTCATTGACGTGCTGGCTGATACCCAAACAAGGGATGAGCTGGAGATGTCACTGCCTTGGTCCTTTCACTATTGGCTGCTACTTCCCGGCGGATGTCGGGTTCAGCGCCTTCCAAGTCGCCCAGTCTTCTGTGTGCCCAGAAGGGAGTCTCTCATTTGGTATCAGCCATTGATTGAGGTTCTGGGTTTGAGCCTGCCACTTTTGGACTCTCGCTTGCTGGGGTGTTCCAGCAAGTGTCTCTGTAGATCTTAGAAAACTATTTCTTGATTTAAGTCGTTGATGTGCTGGCTGATACCCAAACAAGGGATGAGCTGGAGATGTCACTGCCTTGGTCCTTTCACTATTGGCTGCAACTTCCCGGCGGATGTCAGGTAATGCAATATCGGCTAAGCAGTGTAATTTCTCCAGTGGATTCCGGCCATGAAAGCCTTCGACAATACATATGGCTAAGTAGTTTGGTTTTAATTTATTTATCGTGTTAGGTAACCGAACAGTTGTATTACATTTTTGACAGAACAAACAAACAACATACAAAAGGCACAGAGTTTGCAAGCTTGGTAGTTGATTAAATGTCCTTTGACCAGTATCTGGCCACTTGGAGTGCTTCTGGTGTTGCCGCAAGAAGGTCCTCCATTGTGCATGTGGCAGGGCTCAGGTTGCATTGCAGCAGGTGGTCTGTGGTTTGCTCTTACATGTCGTGGTTTGGTGTAGTTTGGTGAGTTCCCAGCACTCTTTGGCAGAGGAGGCTCAAGACCTTGTAAGCCACTACTCTCACCATGTCATAGCCTTGAGCCATGGCGGTTCAAGCTGCCTCAAACTGCACTAAGACTTCATATGGACTCCGTGCAAATAAAGAGCTGATGCTGAGGGAGAAGGGAAGGTTGCCGGTGATGCGCTTGCGGGACTTGGCGCGCGACGCTGCTTGGGTGCTGTGTCGGAGGGAGTGGGAGGAAGAGCCGGCGAGAGGAGCAGCCAATCACAGCGCTCCTGGCAGCGCGGAGGGAGGGAGGGAGGGAAGGCAAGGAGAGCGGCGGAGAGCGCGCAGACGGGACTGAGCGCCCGGAGAGCGAGGACGGGCTCTTCATTCCTTTCTCTCTCTCTCCCTCTCTCTCCTTCTCTTTCTCTCTTTCTCTCTTTCTCTCTTTCGTGCTCCTTCCGTCCCCGCGGCAGCATGGAGCCCAACAGCCCTCGGAAAATCCAGTTCACCGTCCCGCTCTTGGAGCCTCACCTCGACCCGGAGGCGGCGGAGCAGGTGGGTGGCAGCCTTTTTCGGTGTGGAAAGCGGATTTGCTTATTACCTCTTCCCGCCCTTCCAATAATCACATCCATCCAGGTCGGGATCCAGAGCTCTCCCAGATCCCAATCGTCAGAAAGAGCCCCTTTCGGGTGGCTCCGTGTCCCCAAACTTTGTTTCATGCACAACATCATTAAAATATATGTATATCGTTTCTAAAAAGACTTGAGGGTTGTGTGTGCCTGGCGCAGATGGAGTGTTTGGACTTGGAACCAATCTCCAAGATCATCCATGAGATACAGGCAACTAGTCCAAATTTGGAACCTGGAATCCTAAGCACTGCTGGGCCCAAGCATGACATATAGTAGATGCCCAGCCTGTAATCAATGAGCTAAATATTGCAGGTTGGATACATATAGACTGTATATTGCAGGTAGAAAGATATGTGGGCTGTGTATTACAGGTTGCATATTTGGGGACCATATTTGGTCCAATGTATATGTATATGGATTGTGTTTCTGCCAACCTAGCAATTTGAAAACATGAAAATGTGAGTAGATCAATAGGTACCGCTCTGGTGGGAAGGTAACGGCGCTCCATGCAGTCATGCTGGCCACATGACCTTGGAGGTGTCTACAGACGACACCGGCTCTTCGGCTTAGAAATGAAGATGAGCACCCCACACCCCAGAGTCGGACACGACTGTTAGGGGAAAACCTTTACCTTTTTTATATGGATTGTGTATTACAGGTTGACTATATATGGACTATATATTACAGGTCTCTCTCTGTATGTGTATGTGTATGTGTGTGTGTATATATGACATTTATATGCCGCCCTTCTCACTCCGAAGGGGACTCAGAGTGGCTTACAAGAGATATATATATATATATATATATATACACACACACACACACACACACACACACACACACACCACACACATACAATATATTATATTATTTAGTACAATATCAGTATTATATATTACTATTGTATATAGGCTTTGTATTACATGTTGATTATTTGGGACCATATATTACAGGTTGAATTCATACAGTTAGTGCATTACAGGTTGAATAGTGTATTACAGTTTTAAATATATATAGTCTTTGTATTACAGGTTGGATATTTGGGGACCATGCATAAAAAAGTAAAATACATATGAATTGAGTATTACAGGTTGAATATATATGGACTCTGTATTATAGGTTCAATGTATTGGAAGTTATGGGCTATCTATTCCTTGGAACATTGCTTCTGCAATAGTCACCAAGCCTTTGCAGGTTTCTCTCTTTCCCATGCCTTCTCCTTTGAGTCCTCTGGGTTGCTGTGAGTTTTCTGGGCTGTGTGACCATGTTCCAGAAGCATTCTCTCCTGACATTTCTCCCACATCTTTGGCAGGCATCCTCAGAGGTTGTGAGGTCAGTTGGAAACTAGGCAAGTGGGGTTTATATACCTGTGAAATGTCCAGGGTGGGAGAAAGAATTCCTGTCTGTTTGAAGCAAGTGTGAATGTTGCAGTTGGCCATCTTGATTAGCACTGAATGGCCTTGCAGCTTCAAATACGGGCTGCTTCCTGCCTGGAGGAATCCTTTGTTGGGAGTGTTAGCTGGCCTTGGTTGTTTCTTGTCTGGAATTCCCTTGTCTTCTGAGTGTTGCTCTTTATTTACGTCTTTCCCTCTTGAATAAGTGCTTCAGGTGTTTATAGGCATTCCCTGTCCTTTGTAACATAAGAAAAGGTGCAACCCAGATTTCCTCTGCTTCTGGAAACTCTGTTGCCCCTTCCACACATATCCTTATCAACCTACAACCCATCCCCATATAATTTGGATGGAGAAAAAATGAATGAGCATCAGTTGGGAAGATGTGCATCCTGCATTCTATGGATAAGATCCCTCTCCCCTTAGGCACTTTCCTTAGAAAGGAAGGCATGAAGGACAAGTTGCCAGTTCTGTTACTTTTCTGCTGTTCTCCATTCTCTGACTAATCCACAGCAAAAGGTGAGCCAAGGGGCACCTGATGACCGGAGCTTTGCCTGTCCTTGGAAGGAGGGTGTGGCACCTGGCATTTGTGTCATTGGGGGACTCCCACATGACATGGAAAACAGAGGCATTGGAAAGTATCAGATCTATTTGGAGTGGCTGTATTATACATTTCTAAGGCTGGCACTAAGGCTTTGCTACAGAAATGCCTTGAGGACTGTAGGAAATTGGGGTCCCTTCTTGCCAGCAGGCAGTGTGGAATTACAGCAACCCATTTTCTCTAGTTCACGGTGACTTAGTTATCTCTCTGGGTGGCTTTGCTATGCCTGGTGGGATGTGAGCTGATGGCCGCTGTCCTATTTTTTTAATAGGGAGGAGAGGGCTGCTGGCGGAGAGGAAAGCAAGGGCATTGCTGGTTGAAGGCAGCCATGAGAAAGGTTAGGTCGGGTGTGTAAAGGTTGGAGGGAGAGTAGTGTGCTGCAGGAAGTCTGTAGGGAGGTTTTAAAAACTGGAGTGATCAAGTGTGCATGCAGGGGGTCTGGACTCAGAGGTAGTCCTAGGTAATTTTCAATGGTAAGCAAACAGTATTCCCCCCCCCCCCCAAACTAATCACTGATATATATTTTCTGTCCATCGTGGGAGTTCTGTGAGCCATATCTGGTTCAATTCCATCATTGGTGGAGTTCAGAATGCTCTTTGATTGTAGGTGAACTATACATCCCAGTAACTACAACTCGCATATGTCAAGGTCTGTTTTCCCCAAAGAGCTCCTCAAGAGTGCCCCTGGGCAAAATCAACTATACTGCAAATGCTTACTTTGCGTAATGGGTTGAGCCACCCCTGTCTGGACTCTTGCGACTTTAAATGTAGCTTTGGATGCATTGACACTAAAAGTGTTTTGGATCCCTGCTAAATACTGTATCTCCCTGTAAGTGTGTCTGTTGTGCCTTCAAATCACTTGTCGACCCCATGAATTGAATAGGGTTTTCCTAGGCAGAGAAGACTAAAGCCCCTTCTACACTGCCATATAAAATCCAGATGATCAGCTTTAAACTGGATTATATGGTAGTGTAGAGTTGTTTAATCCAGTTCAAAGCAGATAGTGTGGATTATTTGCTTGGATAATCTGGATTATATGGCAGTGTAGGAGAGGCCTAAAATGTGGTTTCACCAGTTCCTTCCTCTGAAATATAACCCACAGCACATGGTATTCAAAGGCCGTCTCCTCTCCAAGTACTAACCGGTTCTGACCCTATTTAATTTCCAAAATTAGTCAGGATCTGGTGTTTTTGGGGTCTTTAGGCCTTCACCTATAGGCACCACTCCTTTTTATTTTTATTGACCCCTTGTTTAAAAAATCTAGGAAGCGATTCTCCTCATTTCTGTGCCCTGAAAATTATCCAATTGCTACCATATGCAGATGATGAAGCTGCTATCAGACACTCAGGACATGCCATGATTTTGCTTATGGATGGGTGTTTCTTCTGTATTCTGTACCGAAGCTCTCCGATCCTCAAAAGTCTATTCCAAACTCCTGTTCCATCAAACATTGAGCTATAGCTTGCATTGCATCCAACCACTGTTGCACTTCAATAATTTTCGCTAAAGTAATGAACGTTGTGGAGCTCCCGGTGATCTGCTGAACTTGCTGACTGAAAGGTCAGTGGTTCAAATCGGGGAAGCGGGGGGAGCTTCCGCTGTTGGGCCCAGCTTCTGCCAACCTATCAGTTTGAAAACATGCAAATGTGAGTAGAGCAATAGGTACCGCTCTGGCAGGAAGGTAACAGCACTCCATGCAATCATGCTAGCCACATGACCTTGGAGGTGTCTACGGGCAACACTGGCTCTTCAGCTTAGAAATGAAGATGAGCACCATCCCCCAGAGTTGGGCACGACTAGAATTAATGTCAAGGGGAAACCTTTACTTTTACCTTTAATGAGAGTTGTAATCCAGTGCACATGGAGAGGACTCCAGATTTGGAGACCATCAGATTATAAACCAATGCACATGGGAAGACTCAAGATTTGGTGTGTGTGTGGGGTGGGTGGGGGGGGGGATATACAACACCTGTGCATGTAAGTGCCTTCAGATCACCTGTCAGAATATGGCAACACCATATGGTACCATTAGTGCTAACAGAAGGTGTATACCCTCAAAGGTACCAAATCCGGACTGACCTTGGAAGCTAAACAGGATCAGCCCTGTTTAGTACTTGGATCAGTGGCCACCTATGAATACTAGGTGCTGTAGACCTAGTTTGTCATTGCTTTTTCCTATTTCAGGAGAAGGCAATGACAAACCACCTCCAGTTATTCCTTGCCTAAGAAAACACTATTATATTAACAACACACCTCCAAAATGTAATTGTTACAATCCTGTAATCCATGGATCAGTCCATTTTATATTTCAAGTACAACTCCACAAAGCAGTGCAGACTACATTATAACACTTACAGTTTGGAGGTGTGTGCTGTGAGGAAGAAAGGGACTTAATAGCTTATAGATGGTTCCTTGAAACAGCAGTGGTCTAGGGTAGTTAGTGATGAGTTTTGTAATACAGGGGCCCTCAAACTTTGTAAGCCGAGGGCCGGTTCATAGGACTATAGTTTGGGGAAAAAAACCATGAACTAATTCCTACACAAACTGTACATCTTATTTGTAGTGCAATAAATAAATAAATAAATAAATAAATAAAAACAATTCAATTTTTAAATTAAGTTTAACAAACATAAATTTACCAGTATTTAAATGGGCAGCATAGTCCTTCTTTTCGCTGGAGAGATAGTCAAGTTAATTAGGATTGTTGTTTTGTGCCTTCAGATTGTTTCAGACTTAGGGTGACCCTAAGTGTAGATGGGGGGCTGGATAAATAATCTTGGGGAGCCACATCTGGCCCTCATGCCATAGTATAGGGACCCCTACTCTAACAGCATTTTCATACCTTCTTCACCCACCATCTCTGTGGCTCTGAAGATATAAAAGCAATGTTAATGCTGTCAGCTGTCAACATCCATTGAAATTAGAAGCACAAGAC